TCAGTATACTACATGAAGTTTATGTAACTGTGTGATTGGAGGAATGAAGTGGGCCATAAAGAAAGAAAATAGATAATGACAGATTTAAACATTTATTTTTGATTGTAAAAGTTTTCATTTTCTTATTGAAATAATTATGTGTAGCAGACTGTTATGCATTTATCTGATTAATTGTAACACTTGAAAAAGAAAATGTGGTTGATTTTCATCAATACTTTTTATAGGCACGTAATTGTTAAAAAAGCATGTACTTGGAGAACGTTGTTATTTTTTCTGGCAAACCTCTTGAAAGTACTATATGCACAGGTTTTGTTGTTCTTTTTTAAAAATTGTGTTACTTGAAAAGATCAGTTTTAAAGGGAAGAATAGGCGGCAGTCGAATTCTTAGAATTTTTAATTTTAATACAAAACAGATGAATTAAATATGCATGACAATAATAGTTCAAAATATTGTACGGTATAATATAATAAATTATTTCAGAGTTATAAAAATAGAATAAATATTTCAAAATTATAAAAATAGAGTAAATATTTCAGAATTTTTTTTTTCTCATAATGAATTTTTTAACCCAACACTTCATAGGATTATTGTGGGGAAAATTGAAGGAGGAAGGACTATTAAATATACCAATAATCCTTCCTCCTTCAATTTTCCCCACAATAACACTTTGAGTTGTATATGAAAAAAAGATAAAAATTAATAAGTGATGCATTTTTATAAACAACAGTTATCATTTGCAATATTTGTAATTTGTAATTTTTATCCATATTAGGCCTGTTTGGTCTAGTGGTTAAGGCACCAAGTTATAAATCAGCAGACTGAATTCTAATCCATCTATGACATGAAAACCAGCTGGATGAGTTGAGCCTGTCATTCTTTCTTAGCCCAACTCACAAGGTTGTTTTTGGGAGAAAATAGGAGTAAGGAATATTAGCTACATTCACTGCCTTGAGTTATTTATAAAAACAATGGTATGGTAGAAATAAATAAATAAATATTATTTAAAATGTATTGGCTTCCCAACTCCAGTGAGCAGCATTCAAAATACTAGAAAAAGATAACTTAAAATGTTTAATCACACAGCCCAAGCTAACACGATCTAATAAACAACAAAATTAACAAAATAAAACAGGAGTCTTAGAAAATAATAAACATTTCTAGGACTAAAGCCAAGTTTTGAAAAAAAAATTACAGATGTGATTAATCAGTGGCATTTTTGAAAATTAAATTAATTTTAATGATTTAAATATTATATTCCTATCTTTGTAATTTTCTTTGGAAAGTGAATTGTTTTTACATCTGGAAACTCATTTACCAAAATAAGATCTATTTTAATTCAATACTTTTTAATCTTAAAAAGTCTAATACTTTTAATATTACTTTTTATTAAATAGCTAAAATTTTTACTTGAGTTGTTTATCTCTACCTTTTCATCAGTTTTATTATTATTATTTTTGAACAAATTTTTATTAACTTTTAAAGACATACAAAACATACAAAAATTCAAGACATAAAAACATAAAAAATCTCTTTTCTGAAAGTTGCTTAATCCCGGGTCAAAACTCTTGGTACAGACACACATTCAAATTCATATTCATTTTACATACCATTCCATATCTTATTACATTTTCATTTTTCTATATAGCTTCTCCTTTCTTTTAAATTTTCTCAATTTTATTTTATTTATCTCCTCTCAATTCAAATCATAATATTTATTCTTTGTCTGTTCTATTTCCAACTATCCGTTTATCTTTCTTCTTAAAAGAAAAAAAAAAGAAAAACCTTCTCCTATACACTGATTGGAGTGTGACGCCTATGTCTCTTTCCCCTATATTTATAATACTTGATTTAAAGTACATAACTTACGTTGGGATTCTGTCTGGTACATTCTGACATTATACAATATCATCAAAACCAATACAAATCTATTCATTAATATTAATATTTATTCATATCTTAAACATCTAGCACATTTCTTATCAATTAGGTCACATATTTCTATGGGAGCACCTATTTGCCATATTAATTCCATCCCCCACATCACATATTATAAATCATTATTACATTACATGTTCCCCTCTCCTTCTTCAAACCTCTCATTTCACGAATAGTTTCACTATTATAACATAGCCTAATCATTGGTGTTAACAATCATTTATATCTTTAGACATTTTACACATTTCAATTAATTATCATACCTTTATGGGAACACTTCTTATACTTTCCAAAATTATTCCCCCCCCCCCCACATCACCGATCTTAAATCATTATTTCATTAAAGTATTCCCCTCTCTTAACAAAAATTTCACTAAATTATACTAAATATTTATCACATTTTAAATTACATATTATTTCCAATCTTCTATAATTATTTCTAAATACAAATATAAAAATGCAATCTTATGTACCCTTCTAGAATCCCTTTTCCAATAAAATCTATCCATTATCTCTAAAAAACTTTTGTTTTTTTGCATTTTGCTCCCCACCATTAAAGCTTCTCATCCCTTCCTTTCTCCCTTGCTTCTTCTTCTCCTTATCCTCTTTACCCTCTTGTCTCTCCACCTCCCTTTTATCCTGTTTTCCCTCTTTCTGTTGTTTCCTAACACGATATCCTCTTTTCACCTTATTCTTCTCTTTTTGGATTGTTTTCCCAGGTCTTAAAGTCTTCTTCTCCTTTTTCTCCTCCTTCTTTTCTTCCCCAACCAAAGTCACATGTTCTTCAAAAATGGCTTCTTCTTTATCCTGCTCATACGATTTTACATAAGCACAGACCGCCATTTCTATAAACTGAAAAAGAGTGCCAAAGACATCTTTCCCTTCTTGCTTTTCTCTTTCATATTTTTGATGTATAAGTTCTAGTTCATCCACAACTGATGCCATTGTACAGAGAAATTTTTTTTCAAAACAACCACCCAAGTGCTTTTAGTCTGAGATAATTCTCATAAAATCCAAAGTCATCAAACAGTCCAATCAGCTGATTCTTTTTAATACTTTCTCTTTTTCCACTTTCTCTTTTTGGGATAAAGTTTGATCACAAAGTTCTCTTTAAAATATATCTTTAGGAAATCTTATTGCTGTTTAATAGCTCTTTAAAATTAGCTCTTTAAAGTTTTAGGCAGTCTTCTCCTTATTTTCAGGTTGCTCCA